TACACAAGTTTAAGCTGGAAAGTGTATTTGATCCGGTTGTACAGGTTGATCTCAGGGTTCGCAGATAAGGCTGGGGCTGGAGGGGTGATATTAGAGGGTGATGTTGGATAGTGCTGGGTCTCGATCCAATTGAAGGGGAACTGGGAATGTTTCAACCTCAGTACTTTTCACCCCAGGGCACTCTGTCGTCTCAGTACTCTTGGCTGGACGGTGTTAGGGTGCATCCACCAGAACAGTGCCCTAGGAACATGACCCAGGATTAAAACCAGCATGCTCAGTTGATGTTCCCTGGGTGAGTGGATGGATCCTGAATTTCCGGGGCCTCAAAGGAGATCTGGAGAGCTGAACTGTGTATACAGCTTAATAACGTGCAGCAAGTCTACCAGCATGGCCAGGACTGCAGTCTACCCACGTAACAGGAACTGGATTGAGAGGAGCCTGTCCTAAGGCAGGTATGCCTTGGCTGTCATCATGTCTGTCCTAGCTCCTGTGTCACCTACTACACATGCTGGAACCGAGTACGCCATCTCAGTGTATCAGGAAGCCTAGATGGGCAAACACATAGCTGAGGTTTTGCCAGATTTGCTTGGTAAGATCTCTTCCTCATAGCCAGCTGTCTAAGTATGGACAGAAACACATACCCTTTTTTCTCCTGTGTGCCATTACAGTGGTGAGGTGCTTGGTGCAGAGACAGCAGACCACGGATTAGACAAGCTCCCCTGAGAAGTGCTCCAAGCAGGACCAGCCCCAACTACATCATCCCAGCCACGGCTTTGTCTAACTGGGTCTTTAAAATGTCAGATGATGGAGATCCCATGGCCTCTTCTGTTCCTTTTGCTTTGTTTGAAATGTTCAAAAGAAACAGAAGGAAGGAATTGGAGAAAAAGAGTGAAGAATTTCTTCATAAACCAGCTGTTTGGCTCAGATAAATGCTGTGGCCAGCTGGAACCAGTCAGGGCTCTCTTACTGGCAGAGGAGCTGTAAGAGGACCAAGGGGGATTCGTGGCTGCTTCGCCCTGTATGCTTTCATTAGGGAGCATGAGGAGATAGCAGGTTCAAGCGCAGCTCCAGACACATCTAGTCAAAGGGGTCTGAGAGTGCACACGAGGAGTGAACTCACCTCCATGCAGTGACACGCTACAGGAACAGATGCACGGCTCCTAATTCAACTCTATAAACCTACTTTAAAAGCATTAAAGAACCTTGCAAGGGTATCTTTATCGTGACGCTCGTGGCCCTGACCACTACAGTTTGCTATGTGCTCAGATACAATCTATTGTCAACATGCTGCAAAAGTCAGAAATACCACCCCTTTTGCAGAGGGCAGACAGAGAGCACCGAGATTAAGCAACTTGCCAAGGTCACGCAAGGAGTCTGTGGCTGGATTAGAACCAAACCTTGCTCTCAGGCCAAGGAAAGAAAATGAACAAGCAAAACAATCAGGCCTAGGAAGCCAGTCTACTGCTGTGGCTGGATGTATAACACCATACCCGAGAGCTGGTACAAACACAACTTGTTTGCACCCAGGTCCAGGTTCAGTGCCATGTTGGGGAATTCCAGCTTCTCTGAAGCACCAGGTTTGTAGCTACAAAGGACGTGGGATGACAGACAAGATGGATAAAGGGTCTGGTCTAGTAAGGTTCCTCCAGAAGAAACTGATATTTAACACAGTGATTCTCGCCCAGGATGCTGTGGTAGCACTCACGTGCGCTGTGAGATGCTTTCAAGGGTGCCATGCAATATTAGCAGTGTTAGGTGTGCAAACACCTGCACTTGATTCACACGATATTTCAAACAGGAATTCACAACACCGTCCCCTGTTGTGGCCTTTCTGAGGTCTTAGCAACAGAGGACATTTTCTATTATTTTTCCATGATTAAAAAAAACAAGAGATAAAGCTAAGAGCTGGTATTTTCCAAGGCACGCTCGAGCCTAAAAAAGGTTGAGAACCACTGGTTTAAAATGTCTGCAGCCCGTGTCCAATCAAACGCATGCGAGCCTTCAAGTCCGAGAGTGCTCGGTTGGAGCAGCCACACATACCCATCCAGGATGGATTCTCTGCAGCAGTACAGGTTATCGAACTTCTGTTTGGTGACAGAGTCGTTGACATTCATGGCTGGGACACACAGTTTTCCAGCTTTAGACAACTGGTACAACCTGTTAGGAGTAAAGACAGGGACACAGAAACGATCAGTACCGTAGCTTCCTTCCGTTTCTCAGTGGTCTCAGGCCTCTGCCTGTTGTTATATCCATGGCTGGATGCCAAGCGGTAGCAAAGGGAAGCTCTAGAAATGTACTGGAAAGTACCTTACCCAGCTTCGAAGTGTGAAGTGACATCCACACTTACACTCTTTCCCTTCGCCCTCTAGAAACCAGTCTCCCATTGCTAGGTTAGGACCCAGAGGGCTACATCACACCTTATGTGGAGCAGCAGGGCATGTCTCCTGCAGCTCTCTCGTGCATGAAGGAAGACATTGAGAAGTGCAATAATCAAGATCAATAGCTAGAACAAATTACTCCTTAAAATGGGATGGTCTGCACAGGCAGCGCAGTGCAAGGCAGCTACAGGCACAATGCAGCATGGGCTAAACTGAACTTTTGTTAATGGCAAGGTGTTGAAACGCATCTCTCCAGGCAGCACTCAGCTGAGATTGCTACTGTTAGGAGCGTGAAAACATGAAGATCCCAAATCTAAATTCGAATACGTAAGCAGACAGGGAACCTAAGAGCAACCTATTGCTGTGTGCTGGAGACTTGGCTGGCACCCAGCAAAACACAGTCTGATCACGTTGAGGGTGACTGTGTCTTCCCCAGAAGGGTTGTTACTTCTGCTGTGTCTGCTGGGATGTCTCACCCTTTCACCTTACTCCTGGGCACCGTCACAAGGCACACCCTGCTCCACTGGGCATTTCCTCCAGCTTGCTCTCCGATCTTAGAGACTTCCCCACATGCCAAGACCCAAGGCTGAAACTGTTCTCTTGAGGTCAGGGCTCTGTGTCCCCCACCAACACCCTGAATTTAGACCTTCACCTTTACTTTAAACCAGAAGGCCAGAGACCACCTTAACCTTGTACCTCTGGCTACCAGTACTAAAATATTGCAAAACTCAGCCTTTTGCTTGTCCTTGTCTCTGTAGATGCCCTTATTCAGGTTTCAGGCACCACTTCCTTCTCACCTATTTCAATTCTCTTTCTCATGGTTTGCTCAATTTCTGTTTCTACCTTCGGCCTGTTAAGAGAGCTGCAGCCCTATGAGTCTCACTGCAAGCAGCACTGAGGCTACTGCCCTCTTTCCCAACTGATAGCTTGCAGCTCATCCCTGGCTCTGTCCCTGTCGCTAGTGTGCAGTTCCCCACTGAAGCACAATCAGGGAGCTTTCTGTTGAAGTCAAACCACACGCTAACTCGGGCCTTGCTCACCAATACTTTCCCCCTCTCCTCCCCTGCTGCAGCTGGGTTATAGGTGTCATTATCTCCCTGGACCTCTTCCCCCTCTCTCCAGAAGACAGAATCATTTCCTCTTAAAAATCTCACTTCTTCCTGCACTATTTTAGTTTGGGGTTGACTGCAAACGTCTCACTTTCCCCAAAGCCAACCACACCTTCTCCTGGCAATTTAACTCCCCACCCTCTTCCCACTCTTGACCTTTCTTCTTTGCACCCCATGATGAGGCCATCAGGAACTGCATCCATTTTACAGGTGGAAAAGCAATGGGTTAGATGCACTTCTAAAAAGTCCCACTAAGGTCAGTAGCAGGGTAAAAATTAAGAATTCAGGAGTTCTTACTCCCAGTTCCAGGTTTGGGTCACTGGATTTTAGTGTATTTTTCACTCTGGGGAGGTTAAATGTGAATTTTGAAGGTCTGGTCCTTGTCCAAAAGCCACCCTACAACTGCAATGAGGAAGCTCAAAGTCCAAGCAGCTGCTTGAGAGACAGCATTTCACAGGCTGTAGTTTCTTGTGAGCATCACACTGAGTTAGTGCAACACACCCACTTGGACTGGCTTTGTCCAAGGACGCACAGGGGGTGCAGCTCTGTTACCTGTGGACGCCAGTCACACTCTCCTCTACTATCCCCTTGATTTTCTTAAACATGTTGGGGTATTTCTTATAAATCCAGTGGGTGAGGTCCCCTCCATCATCCAAGATCTGCAATAAGAAAGTCACACAGGTCAGTGCCCTGAAGAGCCAGCATAGCTGCCAACCTCCCTAAGTAAATTATGCACCAAATTCCAATTTATGAAGCTTGCTCAAGATTTTGCACTGTGCAGGCTACAGTCACTGCAACAACACAGGCATAACCCACAAAACGACTTTTTTTTCCGATTATTCAGGGTAGGAACAACGTTTTGGTGTTGTGTGTAGTTCTCCTAGGCAGATGCTGCCAAAACTCTAAGCATTTAAACCCCAAAGAGGGACTGCCTGAACAGCCCTAGTGCAAGCTCCTCTCTCTGGCTACCCTTCCAGCCAAAAGAACCACTGCTAGAAGTGACAGAGAAGTGTTCATGCATCACAGCCGAACCCAGATCCGGCCTCTGCCCTCCAACTGTGAATGGGGAGGCCAGGTGACCTTGACTGCAATAGTAGTTTTGTTCTGGAAAAGGCACTGTGTTTCACAAAGTCCAATCCATATCCTTTACACGGTCCCCTTCAGTCACAACTCACCTAGGTTGAACTTCAATTTAGGACTTAAAAGGTACCAATCACCTGACCCATCCAACGCCTCTCAAGGACACACTTTTCCAAAGAATATTAAACCTCAAAGTAGAAGACTTAACTCATAGTGGGATGCAAGGGAAAAGGTGGGGAGGAACAGAGACAAACTTCATCTTTTGGCAACTGCCAATCCCCTGGATCATGGTGCATGCGCAAGAGGTCTATGCGGATGTCACACCAAGACCTTCAGTGCGTCCAACATCCCCCCCTTTAGACCACTGAGACCAGAGGTCAGCCCGAGTCCAGACAGTCAGTGCCTCGATGGTTGTAGCTTCTGCCAGAGAGCACGCTTACTGCTCGATTACAGCCACTAAATGGTGCTACATAATACCCAAGGAACGTGCCCACTGAAAATTCAGTGTTTTGTAAAAGGAGTCAAGCAGATAACTATAACTGAATCACAAAGTGACAGAAATCAGAGACGGAAAAGAGCCTCATTAGTGACCAACATACGGCGAGTGGTATAATCACCGTGCCTAAGGTAGCACAGCCTGGTAATCCCTCATACAGCCGTAACACATGCTCTTATAAACCAGCATGTAGAGCCGGATACGCTTACACCCATCAGTTTGATTCAAGCATTTCTGTGGCACACAACAGCATCTGTAAGAGGGTCGAGGATTTTAAGTTAAAAATGTTATGTACTGTATGTGATCATTGCTGTCTGCTGAATACAGACCCACAGACAATTAGAAAAAGCCTACTGGGAGCTAATGGAGATTGTTATCTCCCTAAAAGATTACTGGGAGCTACTGGAGTTTCCCCAAACAGGGGATTCCTGTATTTGTGCCCCTCCTTTGTCACCCCAGGCCAAATAATCTGGCCCCAACAAAAGCTACTTCCACTTGCACCTCCCACAT